TCTCCAGGTAAAAGAGAACAACTACCGCGGCCACGGTGACAGCGTGGATCAGCTCTGCTGGCATCCCAGCAACCCCGACCTCTTCGTCACTGCGTCCGGGGACAAAACCATCCGCATCTGGGATGTCCGCACCACCAAGTGCATCGCCACCGTCAACACCAAAGGTGGGTCCCTGCCTCCCCGGGGGTCGGTGACACAGCCCTTCCGATGGTACTGGTGATTGAGGGGTCTTTGCGTACTGCTTCTGGTGTTGTATCGCACTCAGCCAGCTTCAGCTGGTGTAAGGAGCACAGCGAGCACGAGGGCTGCTTTATGCTGGTGGCAGGACTGGAGGCACTGCTGAGCTGTGCTGGTGGCTGTTAAAGGGCCATGGGAACTTGTCTGGAGTCTGTGGGCAAGAAGGCTGGAGGCTGGGGAACGTGTGTTTGCAGAGAGAGACGTGGCAGAGGTCCGAGTTTACATGGATTCATAAAGCAACCACTCACATTAATGGTTTGACCAGCCCAGCTACCATCACTGGCCTAAGAAATCTATGTCTTCCAACAGTTGGGGTTGAGAATAGAGTTGTAAGGTGATATATCTGTAGCATTCCTTGGGCCTCCCCTCCTTCACACACACGTGCTGTTGGTTGTTGGATTTTCTGGATATTGGATACCGCTGGGTTGAGAGGGTCTTTCGATATGACCTTGCTTGGTGGTGGTTGCTGTGTCTAAAACGGAAAGGCTAGCAATGCAGTCCTAGTGGCTTGAAGCTACAGTTCTCAGTTTAATTTTCAGTGCAGAGTTTCAGTGTTAAATTGCAGACCTGGCAGTTCTTCCCATCTGGGAGTGATTCAGAGTTAGTGGAGCACACCGTGGCCTCGAATCAGAAATAAAAGCCTCCTGTCTGCTTGACACGCTGTGGCTCTTGCAAACTGCTGTGTGGCAATGGGACCTGCTGCTTTTCTGTCCCTCTAGGGGAGAACATCAACATCTGTTGGAGCCCTGATGGACAGACCATTGCAGTGGGGAACAAGGATGATGTTGTCACCTTCATTGACGCAAAGACGCATCGCTCCAAAGCAGAGGAACAGTTCAAGTTTGAGGTGAATGAGATCTCCTGGAACAACGATAACAACATGTTCTTCCTCACTAATGGGAATGGCTGCATCAACATCCTCAGGTGGGTGCCTGTGGTGAGTAGGGTACCAAGGCTGGCTGCCCTGGTGCATCGCTGCTTGCTGAGGCAGATTGCAAACCCCTCTGCTGCTTTTGGGGAGCCAGAGTCCCACATCCCAGTGATTCCCAGTCACTATGATGGGAGCAAGCTTACCTGGAAGGAAGTTGCCCCATTCCTGGGCTGGACTCTCTGTATGTGACTGTGATGCTTTTCCTTGTTCACTTAACACTTAAAGTTTCCAACAATGTCATCCTGCACTGTTTTGTTTCACACCTGGTCCCGGCATGTCTCACGCCTGGCCTCTTTTCATAGAGGCTCTGTGCTTCTCTCACTGCTTCCTGCCCTCTCTCTTCATCTCCACAGCTACCCAGAACTCAAACCCATCCAGTCCATCAACGCCCATCCTTCAAACTGCATCTGCATCAAGTTTGACCCCATGGGGAAGTACTTTGCCACAGGCAGCGCTGATGCTTTAGTCAGCCTCTGGGATGTGGATGAACTGGTGTGTGTGAGGTGCTTCTCCAGGTAGGTAGTGCTGTCCTGGAGTTTGCTCCCCTCTCCAGTGACTGTCTGGGGGATCCCTCACAGTCTGCTTTGCTCTACTGCTGCAGGCTTGACTGGCCTGTGCGAACACTGAGCTTTAGCCATGATGGGAAGATGCTGGCATCGGCATCAGAGGATCACTTCATTGACATTGCAGAGGTGGAGACAGGTAATGGTTTGCTTTTGGGGAGCAGTAACGAGGGAATCTGATGGAGATGCGCTGGTTTAGCTGCGAGGGCACTGGAAGAGGCAGTTTACTTAGTAAGAGCTTCGCTGTGTGCAGCAGAGCACCAAGAGGGGGAGCCTCTGCCTCATCAGAGTGCTGTAGATATGCATGTCATGTCTATGCCTTGTCACCAGGAGATTAAAAGGCGCTGGAGCAGCGTTTGTTCCTCCTCTGCCCTGCGTGGGAGGGAAGAGGCAGGTGTTTAGGTCTGCTTTGTGCTACAGGTCAGCCTGCAGTGGAGAGCAGGAGGCTCTCCAGGCTGATGTGGGCCCTTTTCTGTGCAGGAGAGAAGCTCTGGGAGGTGCAGTGCGAGTCCCCTACCTTCACAGTGGCCTGGCACCCGAAGAAGCCTCTGCTGGCTTTCGCCTGTGACGACAAAGATGGCAAATACGACAGCAGCCGAGAAGCAGGCACTGTCAAGCTCTTCGGGCTCCCCAATGACTCCTAATGGAACTGCAGCAGGGCAGGGCACCAGGGTCCACGACACTTCCCCACCCTCAGGGATGGAAGAGAGCTTAGTTAGCATAGGACGGGGTAAGGATGTCGGTCCTCTCCTTACCTGCTTGGCATTGCCATCACCTTTGTCTCAGCTCCACATGTGCTGCTCTCAGAAGCTTTTGTAAAAAGCAGCTTGTGTGCTGGTGAGGATGGGGGTGCCAGCAGGGCTCCCACATCATTTCAGGGCTGCCTCATCCTTGGGGCATGGAAGGTCTGTTCCAAAGGCAAGCGGCCAAAGAAAATTATGGAATGGGACTGCTGAAGGGGCCTCCTGAGATGAGAACGCTGCTCTAGGGCAGCAGTGTGGAAGCCCCAGCGGCAGGCTCCCCAGCAGCAGTGAGCTATGTGATTGTCCCTTCCGTCCTCCCCCACAGCCCGGTGGTGAGGGCAGCCCTGGAGCATGGTCTGTCCCTTTCCTGTGCAGAGGATCAGAGGGGCAGCAAGGGGAAGGTGTGGGGGCACGCACCCGGGCTGTGGCATTTTTTTTGTATTTGTGGTTGTTTTTATAATTTTGATAAATCCTCTTCCATAACGAAGGTTCCTGGAGCTGCTGTGAGAGCAGGAGGAGATGAGCAGGAAAAGGAGCATGGTGCTGAGCGGCCGCTTCCACTGCCAGCACGGTGTGGCAGTGGGTCAGCCCCACTGGTAGGGGTCCGTGTTGAGGCCTCGTCCCCGTCTCGTGTCGCCCCACCAGAGGGCGCTGTGCCCCCACACTGGGGACAGGATTCTGAAGGGATGCTGCTCAGAGGATGGGGACAGTCACGCACAACTGTCCCCATCCCATAACCCAGCCGTGCCCTCCCTGCTCCAGCTAGCAGCACCCACACGAATGGAGCGGGGCCGTGGTGGCAGCAGAAGACACCTGCTTGACCCACGGCTGCTGGCCTAAGGCTGAGCTGTCCCTGTGCCTCCCTGCCCCCACGGGAGCAGAGCGGGGTTCTTCCCCACCGTGCGCTGGGTCGCATTGCAGGCACTCGCTGGAGAGGAGGTGCTGGCGCAACCTGCCTGTGATGGAGACCTTGCCCACACGATCTCTATCATTTCTTAGCCTAATATTTCCTTCTGACAGAGGCTTTTCCAGGTGACTGCACTGCTGATGCCGCCTGGGTAACAGCTGAGCTTTTTGCTGTTAAATGATGGCAAATCAGTCGAAGCTGAGGCTGGCTGCAGGCAGAGCCCTTCTGAGCTGTGTTGCATCAGGATTGCAGTGCCAGGGGCTGTGCTTGGCTGAGGGGTGTGAGGCACCCCTTGCTTGGTGTGTACCCCTGGCATCTGCCCCTATTTTGGGAGGAACTGGGATTGAGGTACCCCCAGCCTCAGCCCCAGAAGGCTGTGTCTAGAAAAAGAGCCCTTGCACACTGTGGGTGACTCCAGTTATTATGGGGGAAGTCCCAGAGCCATGGGGAAGGGGCTCCCCTACCCATGGGTCTGCAGGATGGGCTGCAGAACCCTTTTGCCTTGTCCCAGCTCCATTGAGGGCACTGGGGAACAGGAGGCAGCTGGGCTGAGGGCAGCACTGGGGAACTATGGAGATTTTCTCTTCACCTGTGGCCTGGCTTCTGGGTGCCATGCAGGCTGAGGATGAACCCTGTGCCCTCCGGTAGTGCATTGAGGGGCCAGGTCTCAGCCCTGGGGGCAGATGGAGCGGTGGGGAAGGTGACAGGGAAGTAAGGGCTGAGAAAAGGCCGGAGCAATGTACAAATCCCTTTATTTTATTAGTTTGTCAAAGACTAGTTCGAGCAGGATGGTCACAGCATGACTGCGAAGCCCCGAGCTGCCCTCTGCCTCCCTGGAAGGGCGGGGCTGAGTGGCTGGGGGCTGTGGCGGGGGAAGCATGGGGGTAGGGAGGACAGGAGCACGGTACGGCAAGGGACGGGCCGGGGCGATGGCATGCCCCCTGTTGGGACGCAAGCAGCAGCTCCTGGGATGTACCCGGGCAGCTTTGCCCATGGGAGCTGTGTGCCCAGCGCCGGGGGGGGGCAGCCCGGGAGAGGCTCTGCAGCCCCCAGCCCCGTACTGGGTTTATTGCAACCCACGGGCACGGGGCTCTCGGCTCAGCGCTGCGGGCGGCCCCGGGGACTGCGGGGCTTTGGGGTTTGAGGCGTGAGCAGCGGACACGAGGACGCATGGAGCAACGGGGCGCACCCTGGCACACAGACACTAATGCGAGAACGGGGGCCAGCGGGGCCGAGACACGGACGAGCGAGCGGTGGGGACAGTGGGGACGGGGCAGGGGGACGAGGCAGGGGGGGTCCCTGCCCCGCACGCGCCTTTATACACGGTCGGCGGAGCGCGGCGCCTGCTCCTCCCGGTGCTGAAGTATTGCAGTCTAACTGATATGGCTTTAACTATGGGGCCAGAGATGCGGGAAGGGGGTCCCCTCCAACCCCCCGATGCTGCGGCACACCGGGCAGCCCCGGGGGACCTCCGTGCCCGGGGATCAGGGATGGGGGAGCTGCGGGCAGGGCGCCTGGCTTTGTGCTTTGGGCTTGGCCCGGGGCAGGATGGGGCTGGGGATGGCAGTGCTGGGGACAAGGGCGGGCACACGGAGGGCCTGCCCGGGCCCCCTGGCAGATGGGTGAGGGGCGGGTGTGGGCAGAAGGGCAGGGCTGAGGGCACGGGGAGCTGCCCCAGGGTCCGGTGGGGCGTGGGGTGCCCCCAGCCCACTGCCAGGTTACATCAGTGCATTTGGTCCCGGTTCGCCCTGTCCGGCCAGGGACGCTCCCCTTTGGCACGGCGTGGTCAGGGGGCCCTGCCTGGACAGGATGGGATGGTTTGGTCTGGTTAGGGGACAAGGGAGGGGCAGGAGATGGAGAGGGGATGCAGAGACCCCCCTGGGGCCAAGGGAACTGATGGAGGGGAGGGAGGGAGGAGGGCGCCCGTGCCCCAGAACCCCATGGCAGGGTCGGTGGTGGTGTTACTTCTTGAACATATCCTGCAGGGGGCCGGGCAGGTACTTGAGCACGGTGTCCAGGATGCTCTCCTCTTCCTCTTCCTCCTCGTCCCCGCAGCCTGCAGGGATCGCTTTCTTGGGGCGCGTCAGGCTGCCCTCACATGGCTGCTCCAGCGCTGCCTTCTCCTCTGCCTCCTTCTCCTCCTTTTTCTTCAGCCCATACTGAGGGGACACAGGCCCTAAGTGGGGCGGGCAGCACACAGTGCCCGTGCTGTACCCGACACCCTTCACCTCTTACTCCCATCCCCCCAGCAGCATGGGGAGCTGCTTGCCCACCTTGTCACGGATCTGCTGCCGGACTTTCTCCCGCTCAGCCTCCATGCGGGCGTGCTTGGCTTTCCGCTCCTCCTCCTGCTGGCGCAGTGCTTCCTGCCTCTCCTCTTCCTTCTTCTGCGCATCAGGGTCCTTCTCCTCCTCGCCCCCCAGCATCTTGCCCATGTCCTTGGTGGCCCCTGCATAGCATGATACTCTCAGACAGTGCCCAGGGGGCCTCAGCTTCCACAAAGCCAAACTGGGCAGGGAGCCAGCCTGCAAGTATAGCCCGGGTCCCCTGATCCCTGTGCCACCTGCGCCACAGCCGGCTGTGCTTGGGCTCTGGGTGCTGCAGGGATGGGGAGCGCCGCGGGCTGCCAGCACTGCCCTACTTCGGCGTCAGCCGGGGGAGACGCTGGCAGCTCAAGCACTGGCACCCAGGGGACCTGCTGGGGAATCCCACACTACTGGGAGAGCCGGGATTCCCCCGCCAGGCGCTGCCGGCACCACTGACGGGAGCCCTGTAGGGCTCTGGCAGCCGTTTGTTCCCCCGCGGTGGCCCTCCCCGACTCCATGCTGGGTGTGTTGTCACCCCACAGTGTTGCTCCCAGTGGAGATGCTCCCCACTCACCGCCCAGTGCTTGCTTCATAACAAAGTCCATGGTGCCGGTGTGTGCGTGTGGCTATGCCAGTGCCCAGCGCTCATCCACTGCTATCCGGGCTCTCCGACCAGGGCCACCTGGGCACAGAGAGAGGGACACGGTCGGGGATGCCAAGCCTGGGGTCTGCACTGCCCTGGCACACAGGGACTCGGCCTCAGGTGGATTTCCCAGCCTGGTGCTGCCCGCCACAGAGTGGCACGAGCACGGGAGCACTGAGTACCACTGGAGAGGCACCCACATTGCCACCAGCACGTTCCCCTGCATGGTGGGGGCAGAGCCAGCCTGGGGAGCACAATGTGACCCTGTGTGCATGTGCGTGTGTTGCGGTGCTTGGGCTCTGCGGGTGGGTGGAGAAGAGGCTGCCGGTTGGTTGGGACTGTTCTTTGGGGTTGCAGGCGTGTGTGTTTGTGTTTGTGAGCTCCATGCATGTTTGCACAGCTGTGCAGCTGTGTGTGCACAGGAGGTGCATCCACAGAGCTGTGTATATGTCTGGCTGTATGCATGTGTACAGATTCGTGGGGTTGGAGCTGTGTGTGGCCACGCTGCAGGGGGTTGCAGGCTGCTTGCAAGGTTTGTGCATGTGATTTTGTGGGTTCACAAGCTGTGTGTGCATGCGCTCGTGTGTGTACAGGTGTGCAGGTTGTGTTTGCGTGCTGGGTGAATGTGTTTGCACACCGGTGGGCTGCATGCTGGGTGTGTGTATAGCATGGGGGGGTGTGTGCGCACTGCTTTGCAGCCTGTGCTGTGTGTGTGGGGGTGTTGCAGGCTGCTGGCATGCTGCGTGTGCGCGGGTGGGATTGCAGGCTGCGTGTGCACTGCGTGTGCATGTAGGAGTGCTCTGTGTGTGTGTGTGCCCTGCGTGCCCTGTGCGTGGGCGAGGGCTGTGCTGATGTTGCGTGTGCACTTTGCAGCGTGCGTGTGCCCAATGGGTGCCGCAGCCCCAGGGATCTCCCCCAGCTCCCCGGGACTCCCGGCGATGGGGAGACACCCTCCAGCCGGGGGGGAGGGGGCGCCGGGGAAGTTTGTTCCCTCCTGCGCCCGGGGGAGGGTGCGTAGGGGACACCGAGGACGGAAAGGGTATATGGAAAACGCGGGGAGCGGGACGCGGGTGCTACGGGATGAAGAGCGCGGGGGCACCGCGGGATGTTGGGGCGCGCGGGGGGCGCGCGGACACGGAGGACGCGTTGAAGGGAAGAACGCGACATGCGGGGAACAAAGCGGGTGCGGGAGCGCGGGGACACGGAGGACACGGGACGGGGGGGAGGACGCACCGCGGCCGCAGGGGACACGGGGACGCGGCACCGCCGGGGGACCGCGGGACCCCCCCTCCCGCCCACTCCTCCCCCGGTGAATGCGGTTCGCCCCGCCCGGTGCCGCAGCGGCGGCGCTGTCCCTTCAGCACCGGCACTCACCGGCTCCGCCGTCGCTCTCGGCCGCCGCCGCTCCGCCCGCCCCGCCCCGCCCCGGCCCGCCCCGCCGCGGCCCGCCCTCCGCCCGCCCCGCGCCGCACGCG